GATCGCTGGATGTGCAACATGCCGAGGGCCCGGCCAGGGATGTATTTGATCTTGTGGCCCGTAACCTTGCAGGGCACCAAGTTTAGGCTTTAGGGGTTTAGGGTTTAGGGGTTTAGGGCTTTGGGGTTTAGCGGTTTAGGGGTTTAGGGATTTAGGATTCAGGGTTTAGGGCTTGGGGTTTAGGGTTTGGGGGTTTACGGTGTTAGGGTTTAGGGTCTTAGGGCCTCCCGCGCTCCCGCCCGAGCGATACTACCCAATCACACAGGTTTGTACCATACGGCGTTTTCCAGTAAAAATGTTTCCTCCAGCAAAAATGCTTTCTCCAGCATGGATTTTGCACGCGCTCTCGTCATTGTCGGCCACAGAGCATCCATGCCGGGATCGTGATAAAGAGCACTCCGACACCATACGTGGCTTCCATGCCGGAACCGTGAAAACGTACACCCCGACCCAATCCCCGCCGTGACAACTTCCACCCGGACCCCATCCGTTCCCGCAGACCATCCACTCCCGATCTGTGATAACTAACGTCCACTCAAGTCGACTCCGTTGGGGGTTCTCATCTTTTTTGTCGGAGAAGCTATGAGGGCTGCGACCAGGGTCAGTAAAAGGGTTCGTGGGGTGTAGGGTTTTAAACTATTGGCTTTTAGGGTTTACATGGGTTTGCCCCAAAACCCTAAACCCTAAACCCTGAACCCTAAACCCTAAACCCTACACCCCTAAACCCTAAACCCTAAACCCGAAACCCTAAACCCAAAACGCTAAGCCCCTATATTCTGACCCCTGAGCCCTAGAGGTTTTCCGGGTTTAGGCTTGCGGATGCAAGGCTGCCGGGTTTTTGGTTGGGAGGCTTCACGGTTTAGGGGCCTCAGTATACGGCTTTAGGGTCTCGGGCTTAGGGTTTAGGGTTTAGGGCTTAGGGTTTAGGGTTTAGGGTTTAGGTTTTAGGTTTTAGGGTTTAGGGTTTAGGGCTTAGGGGCGAGAGGTTTCAGGTCATCATGGGTTGCGTTTTTCCATTTATGCAGCGAGGCCTTTTTTTCCAGATGCTCCTCGGTATTGGCAATGCAGCGCAAATCTCAGGACCCGAAGCCCTAAACCCTAAGCCCGAAACCCTAAACCCAAAGCCTTAAACCCTAAACCCTAAACCCGAAACCTTAAACCTTCAACCCTAAGCCCTAAGCCCTAAACACTAAACCATAAACCCTAAACCCTAAACCCGAAACCTTAAGCCTTCAACCCGAAGGCTTAAACCCTAAACCCCAAACCCTAAACCCTAAGATGCAAAAACCTAACAGCTAACTCCTGGCGGTAAAGCCTCAGTCCGAAGTCCTCAAAATCCACCGAAGCCGTCTAGAAACCTGGACATGCTAAACCTCTGCGGGCTCATGTTGTAGGCTTTTTGGGTTTAGGGTTTAGGGTTTTAGGACTTCCATACCATTCGAGTCTTTTGGGAAGTTTTTGAGCCTTGGGGAAAGGGAGCCTTTCAACGAAAAAAGCCTCAGGCCGATAAGCTTCTTTCGACCGAATGGCCTGGTCTTGGCGAGTAGCGAGTGGCGTACAAAATGCAGACTTCTCGCCCCAGGAATCTCAAACCCTGAAACACCGGAACCCCTAAACCCGAAACCCATCTAAACCCCGAAACCTCTAAACTCTAAGCCCCAAGCCCCTAAACTTTAAGGTTTTAAGCCCTGAACAAATTCGAAGCCCTTGACTAAGCCCATATCCCTAAGCCCCAAACCCTAACCCCAAAGCCCGGCACAACCCCTGAACCCTAAATCCTAAACCCTTAAAGGAACCCTAACAGTCGCCATAAAGACACCCCACAAGTTAAAGCAGCCCAAAGCATCTTGTAAAGCTTCCTTTAAGGGTGGTATAGGGCTCCTTTATGGGTTCCTTTGTGGGCTCCTTGAAGGGTATCACAGGGTTCGGAACCCTCATCCTTGAACCAGGCATAGCCTGGGGGAATTCGTGCTCGTCGTCGCAATGCTGGGCTCTACCTTTGAGGCCTTCGGCGGCAGCATGCTGGAACAGGCCTGTTTAGGGGTTTAGGGGTTTAGGGAGTTTAGGGGTTTAGGGTTTAGGGTTTAGGGGTTTAGGGGTTTTCGGGTTTAGGGCAGCAGGCTGGAACAAGGGTTGCTTTGTTCCTTTGCGGGTTCCTTGTGGGGTTTCTTTCGGCTTCCTTCGAGGTTCTTTTGAGGCTGCTTTCAGGGCTCCAGTAGAGTTTTGGGCTTTGGTCGGTTAGGGTTTCTCTAAACCTTTGTCAAAGGTTCTTTCAGGGTATTTAAAGGGCGCTACGATGAAGGGGTGCAGGGGCGGTGAAGGTTCATGGCTTGAGTTCAACCCTAAACCCTAAACCCTAAACCCTTAAACCCAAAACCCAAAGAGTTTAGAGTTTTCTCGGAGGTCGGGGCTCTTTTTTTTGTGTCCCAAGGGCTATTTTCCAAGGCTTTTAAGGTTTCCTACCAGAGTTCGGGGCTTCGGGTGTAGGGATCAGGGCTCTTTGACCGGTGGTGGGCTCCGGGGGCTCGTTGCTTCGGAGGTTTCCTGAGGTCGAGGGCCTCAGCCCTTTGCCTTGGGCTTGGGGGTTTAGGGTTTCGGGGTTTCGGGGTTTGGGGTTTAGGGTTTAGGGTTTAGGGGGTTTCTATGCTCTGAAATCTTTGACCTACATAGTCCCGGGATCAAAGTGTAAGGTTTAGAGATTTCCGGTTAGTATGCGGCAATCTACGGGCAGATGCTAGCCTGTACGCCCAGGATTTGTCGGCCAGCCTTCTTAAAGGGGCTTTATGTATGATCGTATTTAGGCTCTTACTGTAAGTTACACTGTTCTGGTGAAGCTCCGCAGAACCAACAGAGTCCTGCAAGGGTAATACTAATTGCAGTCGTACGGACGGTAAGCAAGAACGCCCGCATCTCGAGATGAAATGACATGTGGCGATTGCTGTCAAGACTCTGCGACTTCGGAATCTTGCAAGTATGAACATCGGGGCCTTGCAAATTCAAAACCTACGTAGGAACTCCTGGTGTGATTCGTAAGAAACCTTACCCTGCTTCTCTTTGCCTCAATGTTTTTTTTCACATCGCCCCTGCGCCATCAATCCTCGCCCCTTCCCGCAGACCCGACCCCTAAATCCTACAAGCCCTGACTCAAACCCCAAAACCAAGCTAGGATCCAGCGGTATTAGAAAGTTCTTATGCTTTAGACTCAGATGGATGAAGACACCTCCTGTGAATCTTGTCGGAGCTCCCTGCCCCTCACGCCTCTCTTCGTCTTCCGTAGTCCTTGAACGTGTAACCGTGTAGATGGAGATCCAACTAAGAGTCTCGCAGAGCCCCTGTGCAGTCGGTCAGCACCTGCTACAAGGCCTTGATGGTACTCGGGGTTGGGAGTTAGGCTTAGAGGTTTTGGGGCTTGGATTAGGCGCTAGTGTTTGGATGTTAAAGTGTTTATGGTTTTATATGCTTTATGGTGTTAGAGGGTCGGGAGTTGATCGCAGCCTTTGACGGGGAGTTGAAGCTTTCTGTCCCAGGAAGTTTCCTTAAGGCCCATCGCGATGTCAGGAAGTTTCCTGGGTGTGTTGGGGGTAAGTGGATTGGTGCAAGCGTCCGCGAAGCCTTCGCGAGGGCTCGGTCGAGTCCTCCCCAACCCCTAAATCCTAAACCCCAAGCCCGAGTTCCAGGCAAGGCATGCCGAGCCGTGTCGTGCCACATCTTGGCGTGAGTGAAACTGCAGGGATTCCAAAGAATTCGGGCTTGGGGCTCCCATCTAGGCTTTTCTAACGCTTGAGCTCAGCATGGCAAAGATTAAGCCCCAAGAGCACCGTCAGCCCGCAACACGGACAAGATAATGATATAGGGGCCTAAATAATTACCAATACTATTTTTTTGGGGGTTCCTTACTATAATTATAGTATCATGTGCCCCAAAACCCCATTCTGATTCTTAAGGCCCCTACATTAACCTGCACCCTCTAAGACTCTTTCACACCCTGAGAAAAGCCTGTGCCTCCTTGTAAGATCTCTCAGGCCCCTTGGGCCCTTAAGCCCTAAACCACAAGTTCCCAAAGACCCGTAGTTTAAGGTTTACGCCCTGAACGCAATAGTGCCTTGTACCAGCCTGTAGATGCCTTCAAGCCGAAACCTCAACACCCCCTTCGAGATCCTGCTTTTCGAGCCCTAAAACGGGGGAGTCCGTAAAGGGAGCCCTAAACCTAAACCAACGTGGAACCTCGGAACCCCTTAATTTAGAGCCGATATAGAAGCCTCGATAGAAGCCCGTAGAGATCTCTTGGCCCCTTCAAAATACAACAAAACCCTTAACCCTAAAATAAAAGGCTGGAGCAAAAACTGGCTCAAAATAAAGTCTAAAGCAAGAGGAGAAGACTGAATAATTAAACCCCTAAACCCTAAAACCCTAAACCCTTAAACCCTAAAACCCTAAAAACC